TATATATATATATACATCTGTGCATATGCGTATGTATGTATGTACAGGTAGGTAGGTAGGCAGGTAGGTAGGTAGGTAGGTAGGTAGGTATGAATGAATGTCTGTATGTATGTATGTATGTATGTATGTATGTATGTATGTATGTATGTAACGTAGTAGGGCTTTGTGTTTCATATGGTTTCTTTGTTGCTTGTTTGTTTGCATGCTTGCTTTGTTTGCTTATTCATTCGTACACATGTGCTTGTGTATACCATATATATGTGTGTACATATATATATATGCACATACATATATGTATGATACGATAGATAGAGAGATAGAGAGATAGAGAGGGAGCGAGGGAGACGGAGAGTTATAACATGTATTGCCTTCAGAACAGCCGTAGGTAAGCTATAAGCTGGCAGGTAAGCTATAAGCTGGCAATCAGATTAGTACATGACTTATCGGGGTTCGTGGGGCCGATCTCGTTGTTGTTGCTGATGGTGGTTGGAGGAAGATGAATTGGAGTGTCCCTTTCAGAGTGTCCTTGTCAGAGTAGCAGCAGCCCCATACAGGCATGCATGGAACGGCTCTAAGGCGGGTCGACAAGCGCTGTTGGCGGCCGCCGCAAAGGAGCACACAGATGCCGCTGGCTGATTGATAGCTGGTCCAAGCTCGACAACCGTACAGGAAGTCTTTACACCCAGAAAGGCATCATCGCGGCCAATGCAGTTGTCACAACAATGGGAGCAGACTACAATATCGCATGCAGCAATACAAACCAGAGGTCTTTGCTCACCCGAAGGGAGAGGCAAGTCATGCTTCCAAATAAGCTACCACGTTTGACCTTCCACCTCAGGTGATGCGCTTTCTGGTCGTGAGTGGAGTTGATGTCACTGGAGATGTTGGAGATGTGGTGATGGAGACGGCCGTAGCTCGGCTTGCAATATATGAACCTGGCTCAACCCTCCTGTAACAGCAGTATAGATCTAGTCGGCAGCCACTACTGAGTCTGTGAGCATTGTAACCTTCACGCCCATGTCAAGGCCTAGATCGTAGCGTCATAACTTATTAATCCATCCAGCACTTCCCTGGCCGATTTAATTCGAGTTATGTATACGAATATAGAAGCCGTGCTCATTTTGCCCCACGTGCTTATGCGTGCATGTACATACGTGCATACATACGTATACAAGTATATACATGTAAACACACTCATGCAAACCAAAAAATCTCACATTGCAAGAGATGATACCTGCAATCCTTCGTCGAAATCCTGAGACTCTCTCGTTCGTGCAAAGCAGATGACATCGACCATACTTAGCCATACTTTTGACTGCAGGATCGCGCAGGTGCTTTAGGAGTATGCGTTCAGAATGGTACCGAAGCAGTTCAGAAATCATGCCTAATCCTAGCCACGCAGAGAGGCGGGGCGCAACGACGTGCATTTGCTGCAGCACCTTCTGGACAAGGACTGTTCAGTTGACCTGCAACTGCAGTATATGCCGCTAAGCACGGCCCACCGTTGTCTCCTTTCACTCGTGAATGTGGCGAGCATCTGAGAATGAGAAGCCATGATGCAAAAAGCAGAAGGGGCCATCAGCTTGTACCCGGCGCCAACAATAAAGGAACAGGGATGGCCTCCTCAGGATGTGGACTTCACCCGTGGGGTGGCGCCCAGCAGCCCAACTGCAGTGAAGTGAATTAACAGACTTCCAACACTCGTCAGCCCCTAAATTCTCTGTACTCTAGACTCAGACATTCAGATCTAGAGAAAGATAGACGAATAGACACATCTCTACATTAATGCGCTGCGGAGCCGTTGTTTTCAGGGGTTGCGAGGCTTGGAATAAAACATGCCCGGGGTTCAAGCTTGGTTCACCGTTGGAGTGGTTCCATGCTGCTCCATGAATCCCAAGGCGATACCAGAAGAAAACACCCTAAACCCTATAAGCCCTAAACCCTTAACCCTATGAGCCCTAAACCCTATAAGCCCTAAACCCTAAACCCTTAACCCTATAAACCCTAAACCCTATAAGCCCTAAACCCTAAACCCTTAAAGCCCTAAACCCTATAAACAGTAAATCCTATAAGCCCTAAACCCTAAACCCTATAAGCCCTAAACCCTATAAACCCTAAATCCTATAAGCCCTAAACCCTAAACCCACTAGCTGAAGGCAAATCCTTGGAGAGCGCTGCCCGGTGCCGCAGCTGGGAGGCCGCCTGGGCCTCCTTTCTTTTTAAATCTGGCGTGCGCGAAAAGCGCTTGTTGTGCATGCGTCTGTGTGTATAATCTATTGTTACATATATACAAAAAAAGAGAGAGAGCAATATGGTAGTTATATATAGTACTATGGCAATATGGCATACAAAGGCAAGCAACAGGCATGAAAGCTCGATGCAGCAGTTCTTTTGCCTTGGCCTCCGGGTGTGATGAGGTACTGTATCTCTTCCGTGCACTTGGCTGATTCGCTGCGTTTTCTTTCACCGCCAAGGGAGAAAGCACATCCCAAACAGCAGACCCGGAATAACTCTTGTATTGCACGACCGGATCTTCCCCGGCATCAGGGTTGCAGGCTTGTAGTCTGCCTAGAGGTCGATCGGCCAAATTAGGCCGAAAGACCGTGTTGTTGATCTAACAACGTGAATGGAGCAAACGTAAACCACTGTTCTGTTCACTCAGCATATCTTCGTGTCCTGGTATACGGCACTCCCTTTTCTACATGTTCATATACTCATATACTTTCCTGTACCATATAATAATATGTGTGCTATTTACTGTTTTTGGATTTCTACGAACTATGTACCATCTACTCTATGCTATACTGCACGATGATGTTGTCGTTGAGTTGCACTGTGGACTGGTTGCTGCCAGGCCCTTCACTTTCTCATTCTCGCCAAGGCGGATGTGTCGGGCTGGTCGGGGCGGCTCGGCAGGAGGTGGAGAGTAGAGGCAATGTGATCAAAGCTCAGCAGCATCGAGTAGATACTTGTGGACAAAAGAGCAATACATGCCAAATTGGGTTCTTCACCAACGATAGTTTCAGTGAGCATTGAACCACAATGACGGGATCGCAGATGGCAACTACACTGCCTGTGCAGGTTGATTTAGTTTCCTTGTGAAGGGACTGCCATGAGGGAGGTCGTAAATCTTCACTCTGTTTGGATCCGGCGCAACGATTCTTTTCTCGTTGGCAAGCTTGACTGAAGATGCCCAGGAAACACCAAAGGCCCTGAGCCCTGACCCATTGGCCATCCAAAAAAGTAGATCCCTTAAGGGGGTTCCTATAGAAGTACCCTTTGGAGTTAGGGTCCCAAATTAGAATCTACTTTTCACAGGCAGGTGGCCCTTCTGGCTGCTGCGGACTCCAATCGCTTCGCACTGCTTCGGGTCCTCGAGGATGCCGGCGTGGACCTGACCTCTGCCCCTGGGCCTCGGAGTTGTGGTCTCAGGGCATATATTTGATTGCAACCACTCTTGACCATAGAGCTTTGGTTCCAGGGAGTTTCGGACTGTCTTTGGTTGTCTAGAATTTGAGGACAGCTTTGTGCGAGTTTAGGGTTTATGTGCTTGGGGCATAGGGAATCGAAACTTCCGGAAGGAGCGGACAGTCGAACGACGCTTGGTAGGACTAGGACCTTTGTGCTCAGAGCCCTGACTTGACTTGAGCAGCGTGTTAGCAGTGAGCCACAGGAATATTAGGACACGGCGGAATGCTCCCGGCACGGTTGAGCATGTAGTCAGGAAGCTATCTATTATGTAGCACAAGCATGAGACAGCAGAGAGGCCCGTCGGGCGCAACGGGATCAGACAGTATACCGCTCGACCTTCCAATGCTTGAAGTGGCAAAGGCACTCTCATGTGTTTGTCACGCTGGAGTAGTTCGGGCTGATGAACGGGAGGGTGTGCCAGATCCGTGTTCGCGCAACTCAGGAATGCTCTACAATCACGTTGGCACAGGTCGGGCATGTCAGCGTAGTGTCTTCCGAAAGCCTGCCTGAGTCATGACAGCTCCACGCAAGATCGCATTCCCAGCTTCACATCAACGGGGCTCACAGAATCTTGTCAATTGTTGGTGTCACCAAAGCCAATGCCTCTTGGGCTTCTTGGCACTGGTACCGCCCTCAGCCAAAATTTGGATCCTCTTTAGTGCCGTGCATTTGCATGCGATGCAAAGCACTCGGAACCTGAGTGTGTCGGTAAGCCAGCAAGACTCCCACTGGTCAGGCTTCCAACTGCCACCGGGATCGTTTGGAACGGCACTTGGAGGAATTCACTGCGCGGAGCAGCTTTGCTTGCAGCTGGACGCAGGGCTTCTCCTTTGGAGTCCAATCGGGTAAAGTCTTAGGGGCCCCGTGCTTGACCACATCTTCGTTTGGATATTGGAGTGCCGACGCACTACTCGTTATGCTCCTCGCAGGTCGGAATGTAGAATTTGAAGCCAAAGCCCCAATGGCGCGGAGGCCTTGCCAAGCACATGGACATGGTGTCACATGCCTTGGATGTGCACGCTCACCGCGTGGAGGCTCGATGCTGAACATGTTCCGCTGATTCCTGGCTTTAGAATTTTGAGTGGGTGACATAGCTAGTTGCAGAATCGACGTAGCTTCCGGCGAGCTGCCAACCATCCAACTCTCTTCCGGTACCTGAAGGATTGTGATAATCATGGACAAACCCCCGTGACAATTGCATCGAGCAGGCGGAGACGTTGGCAAAGAACTCGGATGCCGTGGCGGCAGTTCTTTGCCTGCCGAGCTACCAGGGGGAAGTAGGAGCAACCTTCGTGCGGGCAGGCGTCGTCGTATCGCTCCAGAGACTCACACAGTCTGTAGACAGTGCCATGCACAAGCCTTTTGCGGCAGTTGCAAGCCGTTCAAAATGCCTTTCGCAGCGGTCGCATGCTCTTCTTGAAGCTTTTTTCCAAAGGCACTAGCGCTGCACCTTCACATGCAGGGCGATGTCGACAAGGCAGTTTGGGGCAGGGAAGGAGGGCAGATCCGCCTTCCGAGCAATGATTATTATCCCAAGCCCTATAAGCCCAATATGGCTAATTGAAAAGGAATACGCTTGAGTCAAAACGGCGAATGCCATTTTGGCTCAAGCTGATTGTGTCCCACACACGTATTTTCGGAAACTCTCCCATCGCTCGCCTTTGCTAGCCATGGCCGCACCAGCTACCCCCGCTGATGCGTGGACTGTTGTTGAGGAATTTGCGGCAGCAAGGGAGCTGCGGGAGATTGATGGTGCCGCGATCTTGGCACCCCTGACGACCGATGCCCATGACGACGAGGCAGAGACTGTGGAGAATGTGACCAGGGACGATGTGTATGCCAAGCTAGAGGAGATGCAGAAAACGGTGGCCCGCCTGGGAGATGATGACAACGCCGCGGAGGCGGACCAGGTCATTGAGTGGCCGGAGAGTGACGGCCCCCCCGCATATTCGAGGACACTGAAACCGCCCTTGATGAGGAGCACTTCGCCTGGGTTCGGGCGCGACGGCCTCTGCGGCGGCTCGCCGTCTCGGTGTGGCGGCAGCTGCATGAGCCTGGCTTTGCGGGGCCGTGCCGGAAGAGCTCCTGCTCCGCCCGGTAGTATTCCTTATCCGCGACTCTCGGCGTACCACTTCCAAGCACCAAGGATGTCGACATGATCCCGGGGATGGTGGGGAGCCATTGGCCCGAGTGGCTGGACTCCTGGTGGTGCAGGGCATGCATGCTGGAGAGCTTCCCGGCCGTGGGACTCCACATGCAGCCGGGATCCTACATCCGCACCATGTCCCAAGACGAGATGGTGGAGCTCTTTTTGCAGTTCCGCGCAAGGAGCCTATCTGGAGTGGTGTGGAGCTGCGAAGAGACAGCGTCAAGACACCCGCTGCAGTGGGCCGCCAGGTCATCGGAGGCCAGACCTCGCAAAGCCCGGAGACAAGCCCTCGGACAAAAAGTGCCCGCTCTGTTTGGGGCATGGCTACAGGGGGCAGACAAGTGCCTTCTGTGCAATCGCGAGGCCCCGCCAGCCGACCCGGCCCACTCATCCACAGCATGAGCCGCGGCTCAGGGATCTGCGCAACTCTCCGACTGAGATTCCCCCTTCCTAAGGCCATAAGGAGACCGAAAGCCCGTCTCACCAGGACACCAGCTTCTCCCTGGTCCAGGATGGCAGTACTGAGGTACAGAAAATCTCGCCCCCAGTGGGCCCTCTCACCATAGTCTGGGAGATCAGCGTCTGGATTAGAAAAAGATGGAAGTGCAGGTGGTTGCTCGTGTTTGCTGACATTATGGCGAATTGAACCAGCTTGCGCCTGTGCAATACCTTATATGTCAGGAATACGCTTGAGTCACAATGGCAAATGCCATTTTGGCTCAAGCTGACTGTGATTGTGTCCTCACGCGTATCCCACCCAAACCTTCATGGGGGATGAAGCTCCGCCTGCTGAGGTCCCAGATGCTCACCGCAACAACGTGCGCAGCTTCAGGTCCGCCAAGGAGATAATGGCTTTACGGATGCGAAGTCCAAGTTCACGGCAATGAGATTCATGCAATGCGTTATTCAGGCCAAGCAATCGGTGGAGTCCTCGCCTCTGCGCAGGCCAGCATTGGCCGTGGGGTGAAACGGGACTTCAACCAGTGGGCTGACAAACTTACACATCCGGATTGCCAGGGCTTCTCGCCGGACCGTCGTCTCAGCGCTAGCCGATGCTAGCCGCCTATTCAGAGGCTTTCACCTTCTTTCCTTAGTGCTGGATCCGGTTCCTTCTAGGTTTTGGTATGCTTTCTGACCTACGGCCTACGGCGTGGTGCACGGTGAGGCCGAGAGTTCCCCCAGTCGCTCGTTACGATGCGGGACTCTTCTCGCCAGGCACATCAGTGCCATACGGTTTTTTGCTGCTGAGCTCTTGGAGGGGCCTGAGGCTTTGGGGGCCTTTGGCCCCGACTTGCTGGAATAAACCCTCTCGGATCGCCACCTTCACACTTTCATTTGCAGTGATAAGAGGGAAGTGCAGGTGGTTGCTTTCGGGTTCCGTTGTGCTCGTGTTCGCTGACATATCCGAGAGTCTCTGAAACCTGATTGAATAGACGTGGAATGTATCGTGTTCCGGACCAGCATAAACCCTAAGCCCTGTAGGAGAGTATCGTACAGAATTCCCCTGTTCTTACAACTACCATGACTACTGCAGTCCTTACTCTCAATGCCACCAGTCTTATTCCCATCGCAAAAGTCCCATCGCTATTTCCAGACGACGACGACAGCAGCCGCTACTCTTGCTTGTTTGCCTGCTTATCTAATCTCCAGCGCCAGGGCTTTCACCATGAGCACCGCAAAAATTGCGCATATAGTCGTATTACTGTTGTTGTTAAGTTGTTGGTTCGGCAATTAAGTCGCAGACTTGTCATTGTCGAAATTGAGACTGAAGCCTGATCTAACCGAAGATGAGGCGCAAGCCAATGCCGACACGCCTGTGGTGGCGGAGGCCCTGTCCCGGCACGTCCGCCTTCTGGAGGAGCAACTTGTCTTGAAGAGCACGGTACGATTCTATGCCTTGCAGGGCGTCCCTGCTGCTGTATTTGTCGGCTACATCCCAATCCCAAACAGTTACCCCTGAACATGCCTGAACCCCCACACCTACATATGCTAGAAGCTCAGCAGGCAAAGCTTCCAAGTCGCTTTCGCCCTCGCGGGCCACCTCCTGGAGCAGCTGTTGCAGGGCCCAGCAGAAGACATAGATCCTCAGAGCTGTTGCAGTGGTTTTTTTTGACCACTGTGGTGTTCTTCATCTGACGGTTTTGACCTCAAGCCTCAACTTGCTGACTGTGGTCATGCTGCTGCTGCTGCTGCTGCTGCTACTACATACTACGTGCTACTTGGGTACTACTACTACTGACTACTTATGATACTTGTACTACCAATACCACTTGTTTTGCACAATGTGTACTAGTTGTACTGCTCTATACAACTCCTACTCAAACCTCCTCCTCCTCCTCCTGCTGCTGCTGCTGCGACGACGACGACGACTACCACTACCACTACGACTACTCCTAACTTCTGCTCCTACTCCTACTCCTACTCCCCTTGCCACTGCTACTGCTACTGCAATTGCTGCTGCTGCTGCTGCTGCTGTCACTACAGCATAAACTTAAGACTGCTTCGAGGGACCCGCACTGCTGTGTGTAGGAAGTCAGGTTCGACATCAGTCATTCTAAAAGCAGCGAAGGTGAGGCTGTAAGGTTTCCATACTGCTACTGGAATTTTGTCAGAGTTGGAGCTCTCACACAACTTCTGCTGCTCCAAGGACTTTAGGATGGTCTGTGCAGGTCGGGACCTGGCGTAGCTTATACTAGTCAAAAATACCGACGGACTGTCTAAGAATCTGTGTGCCATGTCTTTTCCAGCAATCGCACTGCTGTTATAATATCCAGCTGAGGAGCTCGTCAGTGAGGCGCTTGCGCCGCATGTGCTCTCACTGCCTGCCGATCTTGCAGGGGAGTCTGAGTTAGGCGCCGATGTTCAGATTGCAGCAGCTCGTCTAGCAAAGAAGCTCACAGTTGCTGCACGTTCAGCTATTCTGAAGTTCTCGTGATGGTTCGCCTTAGCCCGCCTCTTACATACGGCAGTAAAGCTTTCCCTGCCGCCGACAAAGGACGCTCGGACCTGCAATTCAGCACGCCTACACGACTTCTCTGTGCTGTTCGTTTCATCATAGTGACTCACTCTTGCACCCCCTTCTCCTCGAACGGCGAATTTGGTTGTCACTGCATGGCATGTCTGAACTCTGGGCGAAGTTATAGTTTCCAGACGTTCTGGCAACCATGATCTGCAACCTTGATCTGAGGCAAAGGCTCTGGCGAGGCAAATGCTGCAGACAGCCGCCGAGGAAGCAGGCAAGTGCAAGCTTTCCAGGGATAGCCCTGCTTTCCGACCGATGGCTTGCGAATTCCAGTTTGCCTTGCGATGCAATGTCATGCCATGCCATGCCATGCCCTACTACTACCACTACTACTACTGCTGCTGCTGCTGCTGCTACTACTCCTCCTACTGCTACTCCTCCTACTGCTACTGCTACT